GCAATCAACACACTCAATACGTATTTCTGATTTCTTCCTTACGAGGATAGCACACGGCCTCGGATAGGACTGTCACTTCTGATCTGTAGCTCTGTTTTGGAATTTCATGTCTCTTCTGATCTTGTTCAACTTGTTGATGCTGATTTTTTTCTTGATAATTTCTGAAAAAAAATCAAATTCCACCTACATAACCACAATAACCAAACACAAAAGCTTCAATTTTTTTGAAATCAGAAACTCAAAAARGTTCAAAATTGAGATCAATCAATCCACTTGCAASTTTCCTTAAACAATTGACGAAAGTTTCGAACTTTCTTTTGTAATCAATTAAAAATTTGAGAGAATTTTACTCGATCTCCGATGTTACTCCCTCCGTGGAGTTGGGAAATCCGAACATTATGTGGCACCAAGTCCAACATCTGCTCGAAAAACAAATGCAGATCTTTGGGGTCAAAATTGGGCAGACAAAAATAGTTGACAAAGTGTACTGATTGATACAAYAAAAGTCCACTTCATTACCTTCCCTTGATGTCGCCTACTAGCAACATGTGTGGTGAAATTTTCAAARCTTAAAGCAAAACCAGAGCARGTAGATTCACCTATCTCACCGCACTTATCCTCCTCAAGTACTCCTGAATCTGCCACAAGTAAGCTTTCAAGAGGACAGTTGTATGCCGTTGGTGTGAAGCCAGAAAGACAAGAGTCCGGATCTGATATGAACATTATATTAGCTGGAGGTGGTTTACTGACAGCAAACGGTAGTCACACTCAATACGTATTTCTGATTTCTTCCTTATRAGGATAGCACACGGCCTCTGATAGGACTGTCACTTCTGATCTGTAGCTCTGTTTTGGAATTTCATGTCTCTTCTGATCTTGTTCAACTTGATGATGCTGATTTAGAATTTGGAAAATTTCACTTGATGATGTGAAATGTGACAGTTTTCGTGTATGCTTTCTCATATATCCTTTCATTGTTCTCTGTTGCTTAGGATGATAACAGTATAGGCATACATTTTCTCATGATCTGTATAATCACTAATCAGTTTTCACATGTATACTCCCTAATCAGTTTTGGTATATGCTTTCATTTTTCTCGGTTGCTTAGGATGATAACAATATAGGCACATTGTTCTCATCTTCCTGTATATGGTTATCAATTTTGATGATGACTTCCCTAGGTCATGGAGAACAACGATGATTACAGCACATGCAGAACATATGTGTGGTGGGATGTTGAATCAAACGACATCCCTCACGATGTGGATTGTTCCACTGTATTACCAGYACTCGATCAGTATTTAGATACACTGGGATTTAACGGGCACAGATCCTACTTGGAAGTGATCGGAAACCTCGAGGATTTCCGAATGAAAAGAGAAGTTTACGACAGTCTTTGGGAATCTGATTTTGCTATTCACTCTGAGCAAAYTGGTAAGTCAAGTAGGTTGAGCTTTTAGTTTTTCTTGCTTAATCATCTAACTGCTTCCTTTTCTGCTCCTGATAGTTTGTGATACTTTTGACTGATAATTTTTTTTATGATTTCAGCTGCGACTAAACAGGTAGCGGATAAGTTTATTAAAGACCAGTTGAAGCGGTTATTGGCTTCCTTGACCACTTCCGGGGATCGAGCCGTTGTAGTTTTAATGTCGTCTGACAAACACTTCAGAAGGAGTTTGCTAGATTTTAACAACTCTGGGATCGTTAAAGTTGTCCTCATTTACCATCCCAGTAAAACATCTTCTGTGATGATGAATTTTCCCTCGACAAGAGCTGATTGGCTTCTGATGTTGTCTATAATTACACCAGGATTGGGATTGCTTCTGCTGCTCGTGCTCCTAGTCACCACTTCCCTCCTCCACCTCCCAAGTTCATTCCTCGACAATCCCACCCTGGACCAGCACCAGCCCCTGGACCAGCACCAGCCTCTGGAACTGCAACAACCCCTGGAACTTCCCATGGTAGAGCCCCTGTAAGAGGTGGAGGAGGAACACAAAGTAGACACCATAAGGCTGTGTTATTGTATCTGTCACCATCAATCTGTGTTTTTGTAACATCTGTGTGTCCGGTTCCCCCTGGCCATGATGCTCGTCTGGTTATTAAACGGTTTTTGGAGACTTCAGGCTACTCTGGTCCTCTCACCATCACTGCTGTTGGCATACTAACTGACATCCTTAATGACATCCTGAGAGGAGTCTATTCCAGTGGAATCGCTCTTAGTAACGTCTCGACAGGTTAAGATGGAGATTGGGATTGTCGAGGAATGAACTCGGGAGGTGGAGGAGGGAAGTGGTGACTAGGAGCACGAGCAGCAGAAGCAATCCCAATCCTGGTGTAATTATAGACAACATCAGAAGCCAATCAGC